TAGATTGAATACGGTTGATAAAGCTAGAGAATTCTATACTTCAGTCCTAGGTGCAGGCTCAACTTTACCTGTTCAGAAATCCCTGAGTGGCAAATAGGCGGAGCAGCAGTCTGAGGCATTAGGTTTGGTTTCTGCTGGGATGCTGCAAGCTGAAGGGCAACGCCAGACGGAGGTTAAAGAGCAGAGAATGACTCGTGCAGCTTATAAACGTAAAGAGAAGGAGCAACGTAAGAAAGAGGCCAAAGAGATGTCTCCTGGAAATGTATCACCGCCGGTGGGAGGAGCAAGACCCAAGAGTCATGCAACACATGTTGCAATTTCAGATCTCCAAGGTGTCTTCTCCAGGCTGCGGGCCAAGGGAGATGGCAAAGTTTTTGACCTGGAATGTTAATGGATTGAATTCTCCTCAGAAAAGGAACAAAATCTTTTATTATTTGAAGCAACGTAATAATGATGTTATTTGCTTACAGGAAACTCATATTTTACTTAAGGATCAGAAATATTTAGTTAATGCCCGTCTGGGATCTCACTTCGTCTCTTCTGCTCCCGGGAAGAAGGGGGGAGTTGTTATCTATGTTAAGCAAAATCTACCAGTTTGTCTGGTGGAGTCTGACCCCCCAAGGGAGATATGTGATGGTTGAATTGGGCTTATATGGTAAGAAAGTACTTATAGTGGGACTATATGCACCAAATCAGCAACAGGAACAATTTTATAGACTCTTACATGAAAAAATAAATCTGCTGGACTACAGATCCGTGGTACTAATGGGGGATTGGAATGGTGTCTTAGATGTACAAAGGGACAAAAAAGGTTCCTCTCCTCTTCTTAAGCAGGCAAAATTACCTAAAGCCTTTTTTGATATGAAAGAGGACTGGGAATTACGGGACTATTGGCGGGAATGTAATCAAGAGGAGAAAGACTTTACCTTCTTTTCAGATAGACACCAATCCTTCTCAAGAATTGACTTCTTCTTGATTACAACGGACTTATATAATAGAGTAAAGAATGTCAAGATTTTCCCTAGGTCTTTGACGGATCATAGTCCTGTTTGGATGGAGTTGACTCAAGAAAAAGAGGAGAGAAGATCCTGGAGGGTAAATGAGAATTTATTTAGACAAGAAAAAAATGTTCAGAAACTAAAGGAGTGTTTAAAGGATTATTTTGCTTTGAATATGTATAAGGGGACTTCAATGTCAATGGTATGGGATTCAGGGAAAGCATTTATGCGTGGGATTTTGATAAAAATGAATAATTGTCATAAGCAAAAACAGATTCAGAAATGTAAAGAATTGGAAGATGAAATTAAATTAAAAGAAAAGTCTTTGATTTTAAATCCTTCTGATGAAAGTATTAAAGAATCCTTAAAGTTGTTAAGAACACAATTTAATATGTTGTTAGCAGATCAAGCTGCAACCAATTTATTGTTTATGAAACAAAATACATTCTGTAATGCTAACAAGCCAGGGAGATGGCTGGCTTATCAATTGAGAAAGAAACAGAGACAGAGAACAATAGATAAAATAAATTACAAGGGTAAATTAGTTTCTCAGAAGGAACTGATTAAGAAATCTTTTTTGGATTATTATCAAAAATTATATAAATCTACTAATGTGCAAATTTTAGAGATAAATAAATATCTAAGCGAGGTTAGTTTCCCTAAATTGACAGAGGATCAGAAACATGAAGTTAATGGTTTAATTACTAAGGAGGAAATTTCGCTAGCAATTCAACAATTGAAACCAGGGAAAGCACCGGGTACGGATGGGTTAACAGCTGTTTATTATAAAGCCTTATTGGAGGAGATGACTCAACCATTAGGTGATCTTTTTAATGGCATTTTACAGGGTCAAGAGATTCCTCCCTCATGGCGTACTGCTTTTATATCATTGATTCCAAAGGAAGATCAAGATCTTACTTTACCAAAGAATTATAGGCCTATATCTCTTTTAAATGTGGATTATAAGATATTTGTAAAAATCTTAGTAAATAGGCTTATGAGGGTGGTGCACCACCTTGTGCATAAAGATCAATCTGGGTTCATAACTGGAAGGTACATGAAAAATAATGTCAGACAAATTATTAATTTATTAGAATATTTAGATAAAAATAACCAAGTTCCTGCAGGGCTGATATTTTTAGATGCTGAAAAAGCCTTTGATCAATTGAATTGGCATTTTATGTTAAGAGTAATGGAAGAGATGAATTTTGGTGAAAAGATATTGCAAGCTCTTATGGTAATATATCAAAAACAAACGGCACAACTTATCGTTAATGGAGGCTTGTCAGAGGTTTTTACAATAGAGAAAGGTACTAGACAGGGTTGCCCATTATCACCGTTGCTGTTTGTCTTAACACTGGAAATACTGTTGATCAAAATTCGAGAGTTGCAGGAAATTAAAGGAATAGAAGTTAATAAAAAAGAGTATAAGTTAAGAGCTTTTGCGAATGACTTAGTTATCACTTTGTCGTAACCTACTTATTCTGTAGTAAAATTATTACAGTTGGTTCATAATTATGGTTTGGTTTCGGGTTTTAAGATTAATGTTAATAAGACTAAAATTTTACCTAAAAATATGACCAGTCGGGAGAAGCAGACTTTGGTTAATTTGACGGGTTTTGAAATTGTTAATAAGGTAAAATATTTGGGGGTGATGCTATCTGTTTCTAATGCAAAATTATTTAAAAATAATTATGAAAGGTTGTGGGTTAGGGTACAGAGAGACTTGAAAATGAATATTCTACCCAAGTTTCTCTTTTTGTTCCAAATGATACCGATTTTGAAGAATGAGATCAATTTAACTGAGTGGCAGAAAGGCCTTAATAAATTTATTTGGGCAGGGAAAAAGCCAAGGGTTAAATTTAAAATTATGCAAGATTTCCGTGAGAGGGGAGGACTCAAGGTGCCGAATTTGAAATTATATTATGATGCAGTGGTTTTAACATTAGTTAGTGACTGGGTAAATTTGACAAATTCTGATATACTTCACTTAGAGGGATGGAATACTATTTGGGTGAGAAATGTCAAATTTACACAAGTACAGAACTTAAGGGAGAATTTTTATAAAATGTTTTATAGATGGCACCTTGATCCACAAAAAATGTCTTTTATGTACCCTGACTTACAACCTAAATGTTGGAGATGTGGTTGTATGGACGCTACTTATTATCATATTTGGTGGTCGTGCAGAGAGATAAAAGCATTCTGGATTAAGATATGGTGGAATATCCAGAGAATTTTTTAAAGGAGGGTAAAATTTACTCCACAATTATTTTTGTTAGGTATAGTTATTGATTGTGATACAAAGGAGGTTATATTGATGTTAAATTTGATTACAGCTGCGAGGCTGTTAGTAGGACAATATTGGAAGAAGGAATCTTTGCCTACATTGCAGGAATGGTTTCTTAAAGTGTCTCATTTGGCGGAAATGGCAAAGATTTCGGCTTTCTTAAAGGGTCAAACGCAAGAGAAATTTCTTGCTGTTTGGGATAAATGGATAAAATTCATACAATTTAAATTTGATATAAAAAATACTATATAGTTTTTTCATAATTTTTAACTTTATATATATATATATTTTCTATTTTATATTCTTTTTTTATAAATATAAATTTTTTTAATTTTTTTTAATTAAGCCTATATTCTGCTCTGGGAGGCCCTGGGGGGGGGAAGGGGGGGTTGGGTAGGGGTGGGGGAAGGGGGGTTTTGTTGGGTAATGTTTGTTTTTATTTGTATATGTTGTTTTTTGTTTTTGTATTGTCTTTTATTTTTTGTAAAATTTATAAAACTCTTTAATAAAAAAAAATGTATTTTGACCAAAAACTGAACAATGTTTCTTCAATGTTTTGGTGTCATCTATATCAAGTTAAAAAAATCATGTTCTTAATAGCTAATATATAGTTTTTGAATATTCTCAAAAGGACTATTAGAAGAAGACAAACAGGAAATCCCATTTTCTGACTTTGTGAAATCTCAACTTGTGTGCCTAATTTCATTTTTTCAATCTTTTTTATTGGCAGAGAGATACAAAGAACTATTTAACTTGTTCTCCGTCCACCCTACCCTGAAATGTTAAGAAAGGCAGATGTGGATAAGTAGATAATAATATAGTTGGATAGACTTCAGTGATCCTTAATATGATGAAACAGTGTTGAATTTTGACAGGGAAGAGCCTAAGTTTGATGTTCTGATGTTCTGATAAGAACTTTAAATGTTTAGTTTAATCGAGAGAAGGTTGAGAGGAGAGATGATAGCAATCTTCCAATGCTTGAAAGATGCCACAGAGAAAAGGGGTCAATTTATTCTCCATAGCTCCTAAGGACAGAATCAGCAGCAATGGGTAAAAGCTCATCAGGGAGATCCAATCTGGAAATAAGGAGAAATTTGTGACAGTGAGAACTAATAAGAAGTAGAACATCTTTCCTTCCAGAGTTGTGGGTGTTCCACCCTGGGAGATTTTCAAGAAAAGATTAGACAACCATTTGTCTGAGATGGTATCAGGACTCCTGCCTTGGGCAAGGAATTTGAATAGAAGACCTCCAAATTCCTTTTCTACTCAATGATTCTATGACAACCCCTATTTCAACAACTTAACCATTATAGATCTTAAATTTAGGAGAATATTCTCTTTGCAATTTGTCTTAAAATAAATTATTTCAAAATTTCATTTACAAAGAACTTGGATCAAAAATTTTTTGCTGAAATCATGCCCAAATTAACATGTATTTAAATTAAATGTAATGTTACTAGTAGCATTCTTTTACATGAGAGTAAATAATTATTTAGAATACACCATCTAAATAACACAATTTTGATGCTTTTCTCTCAGGCTTTGTCATGAAAAAGCCCATCCTCTAAAGTGATAATTTAGAATATTTTGTATTGAAATGAATGATCCTTAAATGATACCACCATTTCCTCCCTCTGACTAGGTTATGAAGAACGTAAGTAATAAATAAAAATAGGAAGTACTGTAATAAGAATGACAATAAAGATAGCAAATTCTGCCAATCCATATTTTATTCTTACGGTTGCTCTTTGTTACTGCAAAACTACTATCTTTATTAGTTTTATATGAAAGTGTAATTTATGCTGACATCAGAACCAGATTTAACATGAAGGCACATTATGTTAAGATCTCTATAGAAAAGACTCTAATGCTAGAAATGGTAAATGGACAACCAGCAACAAGATGGATGGACTCAGCTGCAGTGGTCATGGATGCATCAGCAGAAGACCTGAAAGACCAAGATAGAGACATGTTGTCATGAAGAAATCCATTTATCTGGCCACTAGGAGTCAACAATGATTTGGTGACACTAATCAATCAGTCAATCAAACTATCAGTCATAAAATTCATATTATGGAAGTATTTTTAAAGCAAGCAAATGAGCAAACAACTTGGTAAATGGAAAATGCAAGGGAAAGTTTTTTCTATACTTTCTTCTTTGACAATATAGATTCATTTTGTAAGGCTGTTTTAGTTCCTTCCTTCTGAATTTACAAGGAAACTGGAGCTCTATAACTGAAGAAATATATCCTTTAGCACTTGATTATTTTCCTGCAACAAACTAAATTACTTCTTGCCCTAAATCTGGAGTTGTTTTCAAGCAAGACTGATATTAATATTGATGGAAGGAAATGGTATGTAATTCTGCACTATTGAGTAACTAACCAAAACAATTACAAATTAATAAATTAAATTGCTACCTGTATTTAAATTCTCATAAAAAGTGATACTTTGGAGGAACACCAAGATTTTAAATCTATTCATTTAAAATTGTAGCTGAGATAGACAAATGCATTTTTAAAATGATCAGTTAAAATAAATGAACTGAAGCTACTTCATAAGTAAGATTTATATATTTTTGCTTAGTAGGAAGTGAATATAAAAACCATTTATTAAGTCACTGTGGAAGCTTTTAAGCGAAACACTGTCATCTATTAGCTAGAACAAATCTTATTCCTTTGCAAAACCACTTGAAAATTAGTCAGTCCTCACTGCTGACACAAATAGCAGTTTTAAAATCCTTTCTTGCCAGCCTGTTGGTCTTTAATGTGTTCTGGAGTTTCCTTTATGAAGAGTGTGGTAGTAAAGAGATTATAAATGCTTCATAGAGAGAATGCTGCCCTAATGCACTATTATGAAACAAAAAAAGCCAAATGGAAAAGTAGGTAACTCAGAGCAAGTAAAATAGTAATTTAAAATAATAACATTTTTAGATTTTGAACATTTTGAAATATCAGTGTTCATTTTCAATGTTATAACTACTACATTTTTGCAGCATTGTTTTTAATGGTAACTGCGAAAGACACTATGGCAGCCACACTGTGGCAGAGTCAGGGGGCATTCATTCATTCTTCTGCATGATAGCTAGTTAAAGTGTAGGAAGAAAGTAACATGCAAAATAGATAGGAGTATTTGAAGCAGCAAAAGTGGAAAACAGTTCTTTCAAAACCTTATCAGAAACATGCAGCTGAGTTTGTTTTCATAGGAGTGATGGGTAAATAGACCCCTATGAATAATTCAGTTTTCAACAGTAAGCAATCACTTACTTCATAAATCTTGCCCAAATTTGTCAAAAGTTCTATCTGGAAGATGCAGTGCAAATGTGTTATTAGTAGACGATCTAGTAGCTACTCTTGTTACTCCTAATTCTGGGCCTGTTGTACCTTTTCACAGAATTTGTACATTTTCCTCACCCTCTTCCTGGATGATGAGAAACTTCAGGATGCAAGTTCTGTAACCTGTCAACCTCATATGATCTGATGGGTAAATTACCTTTGCTTTTGATCTTTTCAGGGGAAAGGACAATGTTGCAGAAATAAGGAAGAAATGGTGTCAGACTTTCTTGGCCGTCTAAGAATCAAGACATAAGAATATTCATGGTTCCAGTTAAAATAATAACAATTTTAATTACAGAAGTCAAAGGCATAGAATATTTTCTTTTGTCAGGTAAGAAAATGTTCTGTGTAATTCAGGGCCATTTATATAGCATCTTTATCAATAGAAAGAAATGGACAACATATTCTTTTGTAAATAAAAATTAAAGGATATCATCTTAGGGCATATTGTCATGGAGAAATCTATTGGCCACTAGGAATCAACAGAGATTTGTGGCTAATCATAGGTATGGTTATTGGTTTTTTGCATCTCATCATCTCAAAATACAACTAAATTTATATGCCTATAAAAAATTGTTGCCTGAAGAATATGGCTTCATCTGTGTTACAGTCTTTCACAACAGAGGCATCATCTGGTACAAACTATGCTGAGGAAAAATTGATGAAATGTATATAATGATTTCATGCAACACATATTCCATTGTGTGCTATACTCCCCCACTCCTTACATCTCATGGTTTCATATCCAGATTTTTTTAAAGAGGATAATATATCAGGTTTGGTTACAGGATTAACTTGCTTAATTGACAAAAAGGAATTGGGAGGGAAAAAAATTCTTTAGGTCCTATTTTATTTGTTTATTTAAAAGGGCTGTGTGTGGAAAATAGGCATGGTTTAATGAAATCTGCAGATAATACCAAGCTAGGTATTATTAACATAAGAAAAGAAGCAGGAAATTATGCAGAATGAATTGGGATGACCTCATGAATTGGAACAACATAAATGGAATGCAATTTAATAGTATGAAAAGTAAGATCATGAATATGAGATCAAGCAATATGTATTTTGTTACCGGCTAAAGCTTATTAATTGAAAATAACTGAAGAGATACAGGTTTATTGCTTGATTATATGTTGACAAAGACCCACTGACAAGATGCAGTTGCCAAAAGGGCAAATTAAATTCTTGGGTATATTTGTGTGAGGTCTAAAAGTTGCCAACACAAATAGTTCCAATTGAGTCATCCTTGGCCCAACTAGAGGTAAACATTCACCCAAGCCAACAAAAGAGAATATACTATATGTGTACATTTTCTGCTTTTTCTCAGTCAGCAAATTGTCTTAAGATTTTCTTCTGAGCACTTCATCTTTATAGAGATATCTAAGAAAGAGAAATAAGAATAACATCCACTAGAGACAATGGCTGGATTCAAACATGGGTTAAAAACATGGTTTAAAAATATATATGACTCAGCATTACATATGAATTCAGACATGAGGTTTATTCAAAAGCCATAATTAAACAAATCTTACTTCTGAAAATTATGTATACATATGAACTCAGTACCACCTATAAAGTTGAACTTATTTCTTTTTGTTTATCTCATAATTTTCTGATACACAATAATGGGACTCAAATGGAAAGCAATAAACTTGCTACCCTTTGATGATTATCATTATTAGCTGTTATTAAACTTTACAACAATTTATAACAATTAACAACTCCAGTTATAACCTGCTGTGAATTCATACTTTTACCCTCTTAGTAACCACAGGGATTAAATTTATGCTTTAAAATAGCAAAAGCTGTTTCTTCCTTTCCTTCCCCATCCTATTTCGAATAGCACTTGGGATTTCACTCTGAAACATTCAGCTATTTAGCTATATTTTTGATCTTCATTTTGTAGAAAATGACTTTGATTAAATTTTTATAAGAGAATTTTGTGCATATATTATTGGAGAGAGCATCTCAAATGTATACTACAGAAATAAAAAGGTAATGAAGTTTCTCAAGATGACATCATGCTTAATATGGACAAGACATGACCACAAATAACCTACAATAACCTTTTAAAATTAGTTTTTTCCTGACTTTATAAAGCAATATTTTATTTGGCAGCTTTTCATTGGCATGCACGTCCAACAGTTTTGTTTGTTGTCTGTAACCAGGAAGATACAACCAGGATTTTCACGTAAGCTTCCTTCAGTTAATGTAGTTTAGCAATTTTTTTTGGGCTCATTGTTACAAATTGCTGCTGCTGAATTTTTTTTCCTTTGGAATGTGTACTAAGATCAAGAATATAAATACAAGAAAAAATAGCTTTAGCTATAAGATCATTTCATCCAAAAAGAGTTATAATGGTTTTTCAAATACTAGCTATAACATTTTATATTTGGAAGTTATGTAATACCATGCTACTGCGAACATAAAAATGGGTGGAAATCAGCCTCTATCCCCTGAAGCATTGCAAGACAGCAAGAAATAAATTATTATCTGTAGATAGATGTATGTAAAAAAATAATTGCTAAACTGGGGATAGGCAAGTCACATGAAAATAACAGAAATGCTGTCATATATAACTTAACTACTTAGACCAGGGGTGTCAAACTGGCAGCCCACAGGCCGGATGAGTTACGCCCAGGCCATGCCCAGCCCAGCTCCGCAAAGGCAAAAAATGTTGCAACACATCATGATACATCATGTGATGTGATCGAGTTTGACACTTGTGACTTAGGCCATCGAATCCGACTTTGTGTTCAGTGTAAAAATCTAAATAAAAGCATCTTTAACAGATACTGTCTCATCTCTGCTAAATAACTAGATCTAATGATGAACATTTCTTAATATCAGATGATTCCATTTTTAACTTTAATCTGTCTTCCAATAATGCAGAGAACACAGTTATCACTCAAAAAAAATCACCTTTGGGTTTTGGAAGATTTTAAGTGTAGCAAAGAGAAAATAAGGAGAATGATATAGTAGAGCAGTCATACATCTAAAAAAGAACTGAAATGCTGCAAAGTTTCATCGGAAACCTTTTTTTTATCTCACCATTTGAAATAGAAAAAGTTTTGTGTTAAATGTTTATTCTGAAAACAGAAGTCCACCATACTTCTTTGTCCTTTGTACCCATCTGGTCATTCAATTTTTCCCTGGGAGCAGATCCACAAACAATGACCTTTTAACAACCCAAATAACCTTAATACAAGTAATTGTATGCAAATGTTGAAGCCTTTCCAAAAATTAATTTGTCATTCTTTTTTTTTTTATCATTAACCATCTTTATTAAATGCAACATCTAAATGGCTTGAAATAACAGTTTCTATACTGTAACCTGCTTCACAAAATTTTTTGGACATTTTACAACATACTAATTGCTCTTTTGGCATAACACTCCTTCTTTGTCCTTTAATATACTAAAACCTATTGATCTGGGTTCCCTTCATGTAAAAATAGGGTCATTTGATTTTAAAATTAAATTAAAGAAATGCCAATTTTTGTTTCATTGAGTGCCTCTAGGTTATTGAGGTTTTTTTGGTGTGAAATTCACAAAACTCTTTGATTTTGATATATTCTTCTTCTTAATATATTTGCAGTATTTGGAATTTTTCAAGAAATCAAGAACTGTGAAGTTTTCATATTGGAAAGTGGCCAAAAGAATAGCAATGAAAGAATATATCTACCAGGACTATAGACACTTTGGATTTGATTTCCAAAAAGTACTTCAGAATACATGAGAGTGTCAGCATGGTACTTCAGTGCAGTAGAATAGCCCTAAAAACTGTCGCCAATTTGTAGCAATGAATAGATCATGTGTGTTTTTTGTCCTAACAAAACGATGAAGAAGAGGAATTTCAAGCATTTTTTTTCTTTTTAAAATGTCACTGTATTACACACAGAAAGGAACAATATTTTGTTAGTTGATCTGATAATAAAAATATAATAAATATAATAAATATTTTTAAATTTCAGTTTTTGTTAAAGATCCATTCTTTGAAAAAGAAAAGCTGACATAGGCCAGCAGAAGAATAAAAAAGATATTTATTATAGTTTCCAACATGACCCTTTTATTAAAATATAAATATCTCTTTTCATAAGCTGGCAGAAGAGATGCTACCTATAAGCATGAGAGATAATTGGCTAAATATACAATTATACAAATAATATAATATTAAAACATTACAGAGCTTTTTCAATTAAAATTGAGCCAATATGATCTATTCTTTTAAATAAGCTGGTTACTTGAAATAATTTGTCTGAATAATGAACCTTTGAAGCAATGCAAAAGAAAGAAAAGGAGAAAACTAGCTAATTTGGAAACCTTACTAAGAAGTTGAAAGTAAAATTTGAATATGGGGTGATTTAATCAGTGTCAAAGTTCAGGACTCTATGTGTCTTATAACAGCAGACAGTTAAATGTAATTCTCTGCTGTTATATATTTATAAATGCAGTGGGGGATTGAAATACCTAAACAACTGGTTCTCTTATTAGATGCAGGCCTGGGCCTCTGAGGCCTAGAACGGACTTCCTGAAGTGACATCCACAAACTTCCAGTGGACTGTTCTAGGCCTGGGAGGCCTTCTCCAGGCTTCCGAGGCCTAGACTGGACTTCTGGAAGCAGTGTGCATTCAGCCTGTTCTCCGAACTTAGCAAAATTTAGCTACTGGTTTTACTGGTGCGAACTGGCTGAATCCCACCACTGTATAAATGTATAATTGTATATATAGCTCCAAAGGAAACAATGGAAATCTTGGAAAAAGGTTATTTTGTATTGATGTCTAGAACTATTGTATGCTGAATTCTGTTTTCCATAATTCTATACTGGAGGAATTTAGGAACAGCTAGAAGCCTATCTAGCCTTAAAAAGTAGCACTATCCATATTTCATAAGTTATTTAAATGCAGCTTCTTTCTCTCCTGTCTTAATTATATTGCTCTCTGACAACATATGTCTTGAATGGAAATAAAAGTTTCACTAATGAAACATGCTCTATTGACCTAGCCAAAATTAACTGGCATTGCAAGAGTATAGCCATCCATGTAAAAACAGGAAGTTATATTTCCCCAAGTAATTCTGATTCATCATGAGAAAAACAACTGGTTCTCTCTCTCTTAATGTGCATAAATTTGTGGGCAATGTGTGTGCTTCCAGTAGAGGTTTTCCAGCACTAATTTCTGGAGAATTCTGGACTCAAAGATAATCTGATTTAGATAAAAAATTTACTTTGGAAGATTACTATTATTCAGTGAGCGGAGCAGAAAAATCCCATTATTCCTCAACAATAAGGTGACCAACCGTCCTCCTTTAGGGAGGACAGTCCTCCTTTTGTAAGTTCTGTCCTCCCTCGAAAAGTGTCCCCCTACATGTCCTCCTTTTCGATATTTGAAGACTAATCTGCAGGGCTTTTTTTTTCTCATAGAACACTCAGAACGGCGTTCTGGCATCTTTTTTTGATGGGGTTTTTTTCAACTTTTGTATGAGCTGTGCTACTCCCACTATTGGCTTTCAAAAGCCAATAGGAATTGCTGCTGAGCATGCCAAAATATCCGGCTGGCAAACTTTGCACATGCAAGTTGTCTGTATTATTGTTGCAATGAATAAAATGTTTCTTTTATTTACAATATTTTTTCTTCAATTTATTTGTGTCCTCCTTTTCATTGTAAAAAAGTTAGTCACGTTATCAACAAACATAATTTTTCTAAAACTGATTACCATTATCTTAACCCTTCAAAAAACACCAGAAGGTAAATCTTCCTTAATATTCATTATTTTATCATAGTTTTTCAGTAGTAACACTATATTTCCCCCCATAGATTGCAGATTTTTAAAAAAAAAATACTCCACATGCTCACACATCTGCTTAACATGTGTGATGGGTAGCTAGATTTTCAGGCAGAATGTCCTGCTTAAATGGATAGAGTGGGAAGATGATTCCTTTGAGAGAAGAGAATCTGCCTCAGGTGGATTGTTGCCAAATGCAGCATAAAGAAGAAAAGAAATCCTCATTCAAGCTGCTCTGAAATGAATTGGGTCCCTACCAAAAATGTCATCTGCTTTGTCATCGTAACACCTAACTTTGCCCAATTCCATTTGATGATTGCAGTTGTCTTATGGAGTTTGAATTACTGGTTCATTACACTTCTTGTTTTCAAGAAGCACAAATTAAATCACACCGATTAGTGGTAACATACAATTAAAAACTGAAGCTTAAATATTGTGGCATTAGGTCATCCACATTTGTGTTCACAAGCTATGTCCAATTCACCAACCAAAACAGGGCCTATAGGCCCACATAAAGTATTTGACATGTCTTTGAAGGATCAGAGAAAAATGACAAACAATCTCCTTTTGTTTAATCAGTGGTGAATCTCTTTTCAATACTACCAAGGTGGCAATGACTGAAATGTAAATTGAACCTGTACTGAAAAAAATAACAGGAATATTTCAGGATGCTCTGCCTTACTCCACTTTTATTTTTATTTTAACCTTATAAAAATAGTTTATGAACTGTTCTCCAGTCCAATTAAACTACATTATCTCAGGAAACATACAGAGCACCTTCCTAATCTGGTGTCTTTCGGAAATGATTTTAAAACTGAGATTGCTCAGAACAACTTATGACACCAATGAGTTAAAGACTGATTTATTCAACTGGCAGTGAAGAAAACAAATAATAATATTTTTTTAAAAAACCTTCATAGCCAATTAATACTAAATAAAAATTCTTTTATCACTAAATATTTAATAGGATTAATGGCGGCACCTTGCTTGGCTGCAGCTGCTTCAGCTCTCAAAAGTGCAGGGGTTAGGGAGGGAAATGAACAATCCAGACTGAAACACTTTTTAGAAATAGGGACAAGTAAGCAGAGTTGAATTGCTAAACTTTCATACAAACTCTGTTATGTCCTGGGCCTGCTGAATGACTCAGCAGGCTCAGGAGGCTGCAGAAGGCCCAGGCAGACCATGTGGTTGCCCAAGACCAGACAGAGTGTCTCCAGCCTTGTGAGCGTGTGCAAGGAGAGAGACTAGCCTTGCATTGATAGACTGATGCTGTCCCTGCAAGGGAAGTATAAAAGAGCCAGCGCCATTTTGTTTGCTGTTCTGTTCTGTTTGTGATCTCAATAAAGAAGTTGTGTTTTATTACTCCTGCCTCGCTCCAATGTCTCTGATTCTAAAACAGAACATTGGCGACGAAGGTGGGATCGGCTGCAAGAAGAACAACAGGAGAAGCTAGGCTGACTTACCTAGCTGAAGCACTGGGAAGTTCAGCGTCTGGAGGAAGCGATTGCCTGCCATTATGAGAATGCTGGAAGTGAGCTCGGCTTCGTGAGACCCCTTCTCATACCTTGCAGTGAGAAGCATCGAAGAGGCTCCAGGCTGTAACGATGTCAAAGCTAGGATGTCTATTGAAATTTGATATTCACCTGAGCGCTGGAGCTCCTACATGGCTTGAATAGAGAATTACTTTCGAGTAAACAAGATCCAAGAAGACGGCCTTAAAGCTGTTACCTCGCGGTGTGTCTATGGACAAAAGACTTTCGATATTGCAGAGAATCTTGTAGCCCCAGCACCACTGGAATCAATTGTGTATGCTGACTTAAAGAGGATGTTTCGAACCCAAGCTCTCAGTAATTGCACAGAGGCATGCCTTTGAGCAGAGGAATCAGAGGCCTGGTGAGTCTGCTATGGATTTTGTTGCTGCGTTAAGACAAGCAGCTAGGCTGTGTGCATTTAAGGATCTAAAAGATGCTCCGGGATCGCTTGGTTTATGGCCTATGAAGTCGTGAGCTGCAACAGAAACTTTTTGCAAAAGAAGATGTCTCATTTCAAGATGCTTTGAGAGAGATTGCAGCTGAAGAAGCAGTGGGAGGAGCTGTGAAGGCCATGCAGCTTGCCAAGAACCCCCCAATGCCTACCACCATCCATCATGAGGTCGCTTGGGAGATTCCAGAAGAGGATCCAGAGTTGGAGGTAGACAGCCTTCAGCAGCAAGCAGAAAGAAGGCCTTAGGAAGGTAGACAATAGACAACCTCATTCCCTCAGTGTTTCAGGTGTGGAGGACGCCACAAGCGCTCTGACTGCCGGTTCCACTCCACTATCTGCCGTGCATTTGGAAAGCAAGGCCACATTGCCTCCATCTGTTTGGGCCACCAGAAGGAATGGTCTCCAGAAGAATTACCTCTGAAAGGTACCAAGGTCCCTAGCCAAAACAGAGTGGGCTTCTGCGTTTTCAAAACCGGGGTTCACAGGCCAGTTAAAAAGAAGCTTCACATTGACGTGAAGTTGCAAGGGGTTCCCTTGTCAATAGAGTTGGACACAGGGTCCGGTCTATCGATCATTTCCCTAGACACTTTTAAAAAGATCTGCAGCAGAAGTGGCCTACGAATTAAACTCAGGCCTTCAAATTTAATCCTTACTGACTTCCAGAATTCCAGAGTCAGCGCAAAGGGGGAGGCCACGCTCAAGGTGCAGCATAGGAGTTTTGAAGAGCTGCTAGATGTGGTGGTAGTTGGGGGTGATCATACAAGTCTTATTGGACTTGATTGGTTTGAGGCCCTTGGAATTCAAGTGACTGGACTTCACAATCTGCAAACATCAGGCCTTACAGAAGTTTGCAAGAAGTTTGCTGATGTGTTCACTTCAGAGCTTAGCATGTACAAGGGGCTTCCCATTGCTTTACATTTAGACTCAGCCATCACACCCATCAGGATCAAGCCCTGAAGGGTACCTTTTGCCCTAAAGAACAAAATAGATGCAGAGCTGGACTAGATGCTCCAGCAGGGCATCTTAGAACCTGTGGACTCTAGTCCACGAGAAACCCCTATAGTCACACCACTGAAGGCCAATGGAGAAGTCCAAATTTGTGCGTACTATAAATGTACACTTAATAAGGCATTGCAGCAGCATGGCTACCCAGTGCAAATCTTTGCAAAGGTTGATTTGGCTCAGACCTATCAACAACTACCTGTTGATGAGGCAACGGCTGAGGCCCAAACAATTGTAACGCACTGGGGAGCCTTTAAGGTAAAAAGACTGCAGTTTGGGGTCAATGTGGCCCCTGGAATATTCCAAAGTGTGATGGAGTGAATGCTCCGTAGTATTCCTGGGGTCTGTCCCTACTTTATAATATACATTTTATTGTTTTTTTTTTTAATTTTAACATCAAAGTGCTCAGGAAAACTTCGTGTGAAAGGGTAATCAATCATAACAAAACAAGTCATATATATATAAAACTAAAATTAATACCTTAAAAAAATTCATCCCCCCCCCATTTCCTCACATAATATAGCAAATTTAGTTTAATCTATTTCTTCTTAAAATTCAATCAATCCACAGAATCATTCCTACTATTCCATCTACCTAAATCACTCCTGCTTTTAAGCTCCACTAATTTCAATTAAAATATTCCAATTGATCTTAAACAACCATATTAGTAAAATTTTGGGTATTCCTTCTAAACACATAATATTCCAAGAATAACATTCTAATATTTTCACATATATTCTGTAGAGTCCTTGGCGAAAAGCAGACACGAGAAGCAGTTGTAGTTCTCGGTTTTCTTTATTCTGTGTTCAGCTCACAAGTAGATGGTTTCAGCAGCTCCCAAAACCTCCCAGCTTCTTATATAGACATTTCCCGGGTCAATGCGATACTTTTCCCGCGCCAGCACCCGCGCATGCGCACGGCGCTGGCGACAGCCTGTCTGGTCCCGGGCAGCTTTGCACCTGCCCGGGACCGCCTGCAAACGCCCCGAGCCGTTTGCAAGGCTCGGGACATAACACCCCTTTCCCCCGGGCTAAAACTACTACCAACATATAATCATTATTTTATGCAGTGTTCTGCTTCTCAGTGCTCCTATCGTTACCTGGCTTTTGTTTAGCCAGCAATGTTATGTAATCCTCTAAGTATTTAGGAGACTTCCTTGCTCTCTGTGACCTTCTCAGCTCTGGGTTTCTGACAGGTGTTCCCTGACTGAGGGGTGACAAGAGCCTGTTCCCCTTATCATGTCTTGGCGCCTTCCAAGGACTTTGCCCCAATGCCTGGCCTGCTTGCTCGCCCACCGGGCTCGTCAGGCCAAGGCTTCTGTCACTTTGTGACCTGGTTGACCTGCCTAGCTGTAGGCCCTCGGGCCCCTTGAAGTGATAGCCACTGCTGGGCATCTCTATAGAACCTCCTAGGTCCGTCCAAGACCTGTCAGGAGGCTGTCCAATCCCTAAGCCCCATTCTGTGTCTGGGCTCGTGTGGGTCTCTGTACCTTCCCAAAACTCAGTTACTCCCTGATTTGGGCTAGAGGTGTTGCGGTCGGGACTTGGTTCCTCGACCACCTCCCTGTATGTTTGACCCCCTGTAGGATTAGGGGTAAGGTCAGGCCAACTCTGGGGATTGTGTGCCAGCTCTCTTGTGGGGAATGATCTGTTGGGATGCTCCCGGGTATCCTCTGTGACTGGAGTGTTGTGTGATGTGTGTGGAAAGTGAGTTTGCCCCCGGGGTGACTCCCTGGCTGGAGTAGGCATGAGTGCCTGTTGTGTGGGTAAGCTCCATGAATTCCTTTTCGGAGCACTTGCGGAAGCTTGAAATGGGCCGTCAGCGGCTCCATCAGTGGAGATGGGCAGCAACTCGTGCCCTTCCCTTTGCTCCAAAGGGTCCCCCTCCCCCCCTGGAAAAGACCCAGGAGTCTCATCTGAAAGGTCCCGCCTAGGGCGAAGTTGGTCGATGTGTCGGCGCAGGACACGACCGTTGTCCAGGGCTACCTCGTAGGAGAGAGGACCCGTGACCTTGGAAATAGAAGCGGGGACCCATGTATGACCAGGCCCGTAATTGCAAGCCCAAACCGGGGCACCCACAAGTAGTTGTCTAGGTGCCCTAGGATGTGAGGTAGATGAAGGCAGTCTGTCCGGATGCAACCGGTCAAGTTTAGTAGTAAGTTGATGCCCCCAACGAAGTTCAGTTGGGCTTTTCCCTGTAGAAGTGGACGGTGTGGTGCGATAAGAAAGGAGAAAGTCAGCCAACCTGTGATACCAGTCCCCGTAGGTGAGTCTTTTCAATGCGTCCTTCGTGATGCGCACCATACGTTCAGCCATACCGTTGGTGGATGGGTGGAAGGGTGCAGATGTGGCATGACGAATCATGTTAGCCTGTAAGAAAGCTTGGAATTCAGAGGAAGTGAATTGAGGGCCGTTGTCAGGCACAATGACATCTGGAAGCCCGTGTGCAGCAAAAATCCCCCTCAGTACCTGAATAGTCTTTGCAGTGGTGGTGGATGAGACAGGTACAACCTCAAGCCATTTTGAATGGCTGTCAACAAGGACCAAGAAGAACTGACCCTGAAAGGGCCCAGCGTTGTCAATGTGCACCCTAGACCATGGGGACTGTGTTTCCTCCCATCTATGCACGGGAGCTTGGGGCATCTCTGGGCGAGATCGTTGGCACAGGTGGCATGCATGCACCTTAGCCTCAATATCTTTATCTAAACCAGGCCACCACAAGTGGCTGCGCGCAAGAGCCTTCATACAAACAATGCCAGGATGACCCTCGTGGAGGGATTCTAAGACCCTAGTCCAAATTGAGGTGGGAATGACAACTCTGTTTCCCCAAAGCAGACAACCCTGAGAAAGGGACAGCTCGTTCCTTTTGGACCAGAAACTCTGAAACTCAGGACTAGGGCAGTGCTCAGGCCAACCAGACAAAACCCAGGAACGGACATGTGAAAGTGTGTGATCTGTACCTGTTTCAGCGGCAACATCCCTGGCACTAAGAGGGAGCTCGGGCAAGGCTTGGATTGATAGAATGTTGACAGCTGGCGCAGGGTCAGCTTCTACTACTGGCAGAGGCAATCTACTGAGGCCATCAGCATGGCCCATTTCTTTCCCAGGCTTGTGGAGTAAAGAAAAATCATATGCAGACAAAAAAATAGACCACCTAAGCATTCTGGGGGAAATGATCTGGGGAGTCTGCTTACGTGTGGTAAACAGTCCCAGCAGAGGCTTATGGTCAGTGAAGACCGTGAAATGCCTGCCATATAGAAAATCATGGAATTTTTTAATTCCAGCAACAACAGCCAGAGCCTCCCTGTCTATCTGAGCATAGTTGCGCTCAGCAGAAGACAATGTTCTGGAGTAATATGCAACAGGAACCTGAGTTCCATCAGACCTGAGGTGGCTCAGGACAGCTCCTACCCCATAAGGGGACGCATCACAAGCGATGCACACAGGAAGGGACTCGTTGAAATGTGCAAGTACACTGTTAGAAGTGAGCAAGGCCTTGACTTTGTTAAAACAAGCCTCATGTGTTTGTGACCAGTGCCACACTGCTTGCTTGTCTAGTAGCCTGTGAAGAGGCTCAGCCACACTGGCTTTATGTGGAAGGAAGGAATTGTAGAAATTCAGGAGGCCCAGGAAGGCCTGAAGTTCGGCCTTAGACTTTGGCCTAGGTGCTTCTAAAATAGCAGTTAGTTTGG